ATCATCCTGATACCAAAGCCTGGCAGAGACACAACAAAAAAAGAGAATTTTAGACCAATATCCCTGATGAACATCGATGCAAAAATCCTCAATAAAATACGGGCAAACCGGATTCAGCAACACATCAAAAAGCTTATCCACCATGATCAAGTGGGCTTCATCCCTGGGATGCAAGGCTGGTTCAACATTCGCAAATCAATAAACATAATCCAGCATATAAACAGAACCAAAGACAAGAACCACATGATTATCTCAATTGATGCAGAAAAGGCTTTTGACAAAATTCAACAGCCCTTCATGCTAAAAACGCTCAATAAATTCGGTATTGATGGAACGTACCTCAAAATAATAAGAGCTATTTATGACAAACCCACAGCCAATATCATACTGAATGGGCAAAAACTGGAAAAATTCCCTTTGAAAACTGGCACAAGACAGGGATGCCCTCTCTCACCACTCCTATTCAACATAGTGTTGGAAGTTCTGGCTAGGGCAATCAGGCAAGAGAAAGAAATCAAGGGTATTCAGTTAGGAAAAGAAGAAGTCAAATTGTCCCTGTTTGCAGATGACATGATTGTATATTTAGAAAACCCCATTGTCTCAGCCCAAAATCTCCTTAAGCTGATAAGCAACTTCAGCAAAGTCTCAGGATACAAAATTAATGTGCAAAAATCACAAGCATTCTTATACACCAGTAACAGACAAACAGAGAGCCAATCAGGAATGAACTTCCATTCACAATTGCTTCAAAGAGAATCAAATACCTAGGAATCCAACTTACAAGGGATGTAAAGGACCTCTTCAAGGAGAACTACAAACCACTGCTCAGTGAAATCAAAGAGGACACAAACAAATGGAAGAACATACCATGCTCATGGATAGGAAGAATCCTTATCGTGAAAATGGCCATACTGCCCAAGGTAATTTATAGATTCAATGCCATCCCCATCAAGCTACCAATGAGTTTCTTCACAGAATTGGAAAAAACTGCTTTAAAGTTCATATGGAACCAAAAAAGAGCCCGCATCTCCAAGACAATCCTAAGTCAAAAGAACAAAGCTGGAGGCATCATGCTACCTGACTTCAAACTATACTACAAGGCTACAGTAACCAAAACAGCATGGTACTGGTACCAAAACAGAGATATAGACCAATGGAACAGAACAGAGTCCTCAGAAATAATACCACACATCTACAGCCATTTGATCTTTGACAAACCTGAGAGAAACAAGAAATGGGGAAAGGATTCCCTATTTAATAAATGGTGCTGGGAAAATTGGCTAGCCATAAGTAGAAAGCTGAAACTGGATCCTTTCCTTACTCCTTATACGAAAATTAATTCAAGATGGATTAGAGACTTAAATGTTAGACCTAATACCATAAAAATCCTAGAGGAAAACCTAGGTAGTACCATTCAGGACATAGGCATGGGCAAAGATTTCATGTCTAAAACACCAAAAGCAATGGCAGCAAAAGCCAAAATTGACAAATGGGATCTCATTAAACTAAAGAGCTTCTGCACAGCAAAAGACACTACCATCAGAGTGAACAGGCAACCTACAGAATGGGAGAAAATTTTTGCAATCTACTCATCTGACAAAGGGCTAATATCCAGAACCTACAAAGAACTCAAACAAATTTACAAGAAAAAAACAAACAACCCCATCAAAAAGTGGGCAAAGGACATGAACAGACATTTCTCAAAAGAAGACATTCATACAGCCAACAGACACATGAAAAAATGCTCATCATCACTGGCCATCAGAGAAATGCAAATCAAAACCACCATGAGATACCATCTCACACCAGTTAGAATGGCAATCATTAAAAAGTCAGGAAACAACAGGTGCTGGAGAGGATGTGGAGAAATAGGAACACTTTTACACTGTTGGTGGGATTGTAAACTAGTTCAACCATTATGGAAAACAGTATGGCGATTCCTCAAGGATCTAGAACTAGATGTACCATATGACCCAGCCATCCCATTACTGGGTATATACCCAAAGGATTATAAATTATGCTGCTATAAAGACACATGCACACGTATGTTTATTGCAGCACTATTCACAATAGCAAAGACTTGGAATCAACCCAAATGTCCATCAGTGACAGATTGGATTAAGAAAATGTGGCACATATACACCATGGAATACTATGCAGCCATAAAAAAGGATGAGTTTGAGTCCTTTGTAGGGACTTGGATGCAGCTGGAATCCATCATTCTTAGCAAACTATCACAAGAACAGAAAACCAAACACCGCATGTTCTCACTCATAGGTGGGAACTGAACAATGAGATCACTCGGACTCAGGAAGGGGAACATCACACACCGGGGCCTATCATGGGGAGGGGGGAGGGGGGAGGGATTGCATTGGGAGTTATACCTGATGTAAATGACGAGTTGATGGGTGCAGCACAGCAACATGGCACAAGTATACATATGTAACAAACCTGCACGTTATGCACATGTACCCTACAACTTAAAGTATAATAATAATAAATAAATTAAAAAAAAAAAAAAAAAAAAAAAAGAAAGCAAGCACATATTAATTACATCAAATTTTCGGGGGGATGAGATGATTAATGAAGATCAACTCACTCACTCCCAATCCCTTCGGAGCTGCCACTGTGGGAAAATCACTTAGCAGGCTATTGTGGATGTCTAGGCCAGAGATTATGATAGCTGGAACAAAAAGAGCAACAGTAAGAATAAGAGCAGGCAGACAGTAGAAAACAGACTGATCATGACCTGGTCTCATTGACACATATGGAGGACAGTGAATCTAAAGTGACTTCCTGATTTTGGCCTCAGGATCTTTCATCAGACAAGGAAAGCCAGATGGAAGCTTGTTTGGGGGTAGTTGGTTGGAAGGAAACAAAAAATTAGCTAGTGATAGAGTGAAGGATCACTAATCCGTGTAGAATAGCTTTTTTCTTGAGGCAAGGCAGTTGTGGAGAAAACGAATCACACAGGACCTCAAGTGGAAAGTGTGGGAGCAGACAGTGTAACTGCCCAACGGATTCACCTTGCCTGCCACTTAGACAGAGCTGATTATCAAGACAGGGGAATTGCAATGGAGAAAGAGTAATTCATGCAAGAGCCAGCTGTGTGTGAGACTGCACTTTTATTATTCAAATCAGTCTCGGGGCATTGAAATTTTTAAGAATAATTTGGTGGGTAGGGGCTTGGGAAGTAGGGAGTGTTGACTGGTTGAGTTGGATATGGAATCATAGGGGGCTCTAAGTGAGTTTTTCTTGCTATCCTCTGTTCCTGGGTGGGTTCACAGAACTGTCTGGGCCAGATTACTGGTCTGAGTGCTGTAAGTGAAATGGGGAAAGTTCCCCTATCCCCCTTGCAGGGCATGCCACAGAGGGAATGGCTCGCTTCTTCAGAACCTCTAGGGGGAGTATGCAGACAGGCAGGCTGTGGGGCTCTGACCCCATGGCAACATCTAGGGGTGAAAATAACATTTGGGTGGGAAGGCAGGAGTGCCTATCCTCACCTAGGTCCCTGGGCACAGACTCGAGGGTGGAGCCCTAGCCAGGGACCCGCCTTTCTCTGCCCAGCACTTCCCTACCCCACTCGTGTATCACAAGCTGGTGCATCAGAATGCAGGGGCTGCAAAATATATCAAACAGTGATCTTAGGTTTTACAACAGTGATGTTATTCCCGGGAGCAATCTGGGGAGGTTCAGATCCTTGCAACTGGAGGCTGCATGGCCCCTAAACTGTAATTTCTAATCTTGTAGTTAGTTTGTTAGTCCTGCAAAGGCAGACTGGTTCCCAGGTAAGAAGGTTTTTTTTTTTTTTTTTTTGGGTGGGAGGAGACCGAAGGGCTATTATCAATTTTGTATCAGAGTTAAACTATAAACTAAATTCCTTCCCAAGGTTAGTTCGGCCTATACACAGGAATGAACAAGGACACCTTAAAGGTTAGATGTAAGATAGAGTCGGTTAGGTCTGATCTCTTTCGCTGTCATAATTTCCTCAGTTACAGTTTTTGCAAAGGCAGTTTCAATAATAGTACCCTTCTCTTCCTTCCTTCCCATTTTTTCTTCTCAAAGTAATATATGTACACAGTTATGTATAAATAATACATGTAGTGTATCATATATATTAATTATAAATAATTAACAAACTACACATGTATTAAAAATAGCATCTATAACATATTAAGTATTAATTATATTAAATATAATTGTCATATTATTTTATTATATATCATTTATACATTATAGAAACATATATAGCACAGAAGGGCTTCAGATAAAAAATAATAGTCCCCTGATATATCACATCCTATCCCCTACCCCACTCTCCAAAAGCAACATCTTTGAACCCTTTTGGGCATTTTTCCTGGTGTGCATACCCCTACCAGTAGTCTTTCTGTTATCAATTCTAGACTTTACTTATTTATAGATGGGGTCTCGCTATGTTGGCCAGGTTGGTCTTGAACTCCTGGCCTCAAGTGATCCTCCCTCCTCAGCCTCTCAAAGTGCTGGGATTAAAGGCATGAACCACCACCCCCTGCCCTAGACTTTATTTATTGACTTCTTACTATGGTATTTTCTGTACTTCCTGTTTTAAACAAGTGGGAAGATGAATGCGTGTGTTAAAATTCCTGATGAATCCCTGGTTTCAGCAATAACGATAATTTATACAGCACTTGCTATGTGGAAGACAGAGTTCTTAGCGCTTTGGATGTATTAATCATTTAATTACAAACTCGATTGCAAGAATTAATAAAAAGCGGGAAGGCAAAGAATGCTGAGTCTTCCCCGTCAAAAACCATTACCGGTAACCAGCAGTAAAAGAGAGAAGCTCAGAGGCACTGAAATTGCCAGCGGCTCCTTTAATTCTCCATAGCGGCTGAGTGGTGCCAGGCCCACCCACATGAAACAGGCTGAAGGCTCCCGGCGCCCTACCCCGCCCGAGGCGCGTAGCCTGAGCCAAGGCCACGTGACGATGACAGACGGCACTCTGGCTTTCCCGGAGCAGTCTCTATGGTATTCTTCCCAGCCCACCCATCCCTTTGGTAGCGTCAGTCACGTGACAGACTCCGGGTTTACGGCAGATGCCCACGTGATCCTGGCCTGCAGTGGGGTGGCTGCGGTGAGATACCTGGGTTCCTGAAGGGCGAGCGGTTAGGTCGTAACTACCGCCTCCGCTGGCCGACTCTCCGAGCGGCCGGGCTCGGAAGCAACGAGCCAGCTCAGGCTTTCACTGCTTAGTGCCTACGGCACGTGTCAGCTCTTTCTGCCTCCTCCGCTTTCGCGGTCCTCACCTCTTTGCGGGTGAAGTTACCTTTGGGTTGCCAGACCTTGGGGCCTGAGGCCCAAACTCGGGACGAACCCCAACCCACCTCTCTTTTCCTGTCATTCTCCAACTCTTACTTTGTACCACGGAATCACTTGGCCTTAGAGCTAGCCAGCTCGGCTGTGCCTTGAGGCCAGGTTTGGGGAGATAAAGGTAACCGTGGGGAAAGCGGCCCCCCAGTGGACAAAGGCGGAGGCAAGAATAGAGCAAGCCTGAGGGCCATAGGGATGAGAATACGCGGTTGAGGGGTGAAAAAGAAAACAAACAACAAAAAACCCTAAAGACTACTGAAGATTTAGAAGGGACTGGAAAGGACTTGTTGCGCAATGGAAGAATCTGACTCTGAGAAAACGATGGAGAAAGAAAATGTGGGGCCGAGAATGGATCCACCACTAGGGGAACCGGAAGGATCGCTTGGGTGGGTGAAGGGTATTATGTCAAACTTGGAAGTGGGGGTGTTCAAATTGAAGAGAGTATTGTGAATTAGAACACTTCTCCCCACCCCCCCCATGATAAATTGCTTTGATTTACCAGTAATGTTGATTGGTATTATGCTTTGGACGATAGGATAAACTGGAAAGCGAATTGGTGCTAACTGGGCAGAAACAACCCTTGGGAAGGGGCTGATACTCCTGGTGGTGGTGCTGGGGGAGTGTTCTAATTAAAGCAGTTCTGAGTTGCTTTGAATTATCAGTAAAGGAGATTTGCTGTCACCAGGTTGGGGATGGAAAGAATAGGAAGAAGATTTGCATTTCCAGGTCAGAGACCAGTGGCTTGAGGGTGCTTTCTGTGCCAATTTGTACCTGAATTTGAGACTTATGTTATGTCTACTTTGTGCCTGTGATGAGTGAAATAGGGCTTGGAAGGACAGCTGAAGGACTAAAAAGATACTTCCAGCTTTTAAAATTAGGAGGCTGAATGCTTTTTATAAATAGAGGATATTCAATATTCAGTCCTCAAATAGAGGATATCAATATACTCTATTTTTTAGAAATAGAAAATATTGTTTGATTAAGGCAGCTGCATTGTTTTGATTAATTTAAGATGATGAAAAATTGAATCTTGAATTTTAATGACTGATTTGTATTCCTAAATACATCTTCCTAGGAGTTCTCTCTTGAACTTCTACTTAGGAGATAGGGAGCATACACACAGTTTTATAATTTAGGAAAATGAGGCCTCTATTCATCTCAGGTCCCACACAGCTGTACTCAGCTGTTGTACTAAACATGCTCTTTTGTACCTCCGTATTTATTTATATTTCATTAATTTCAATTTCTAAGGGAATTGGATCATAGAAACTGTTTTTTGGTTTATATCTGCAGGTGGGTGCTACCAAATACAGCCATGAAGAAAAAGGTAAGACGTGTTAGATACGCCAAAACCATGAAGGTAAAGGTAAGAAGTTGATATTCAGGAAGTTTGTGATATATATACACCATCTTTTCTGGACTATTGCAGGAGCCTTCTATGTGGTCTCTCTGACTCTCTTCCCCTTGTATGCTATCTGGTTTAATTTTTCTAATATGAAAATCTGACTGAGTCATCTACATACTTAAGAACCTTTAGTAACTTCTTTAAGCCCGTGGAATAAAATCCAAATGATTTCATGGTCCTTTAAAAATCTGTTCCTGACCAAACCCTCTGCCACACTTACGCACCCTTTCGCAGCCATACAGAATTTATTGTTCTCCAGATTTACAAATTAATTTGCACTTTGTGTAAGCCATATACCACACACCATACAGGCCTTTGTCTGCACATTTATTTTTAATCTAACTCAAATGTTACCACTATAAGGTCTTATGTGAGTTCTTCAGATGGAATTGGACACACCTTCCTTTGTGCTGTCATAGTACTGTGCCCTACGTTGGGATTTAGGCAGAATTGCTAAGAGTGCAGCTCAAGCTAATTTCTTAACCTTTTGGGGCTTCAGTTTCCTAATTTGTAAAATGGTAGTAATAATATTAACTGTATCATAGGATTGTTGTGACGTTTAAGTTAGTAAATGCCTGTAGAACACTTAGATCAGTACCTAACATGATTAGCCTTGGTAAGTCTTTCATAGGCAATTAAAAGAGGTACATTGTATAAATTAATAACTGAAGGAAATGTACCATATTTTGCCTTAGCTTCATCTAATAATTCAGTTCTGTAACTACAGTTTGCTAAGGGAGTGTTCTTGATGAGCCTGTCTGAAGTTGCTTTCATCGAGAATGCCTAAAAATACCAGAAATTTCTACATGATTAAGAACAAAAATCAGTTTGATTTAATCATTCTGCATTGTATACGTGTATCAAAACATCGCGTTGTACCTCCTAAATATATTGTTTTTCAATTAACATTTTAAAGAACAAAAGCAAACTTTTTGTGGCAACTTTAGACTGGCTCAGCAGTGACATTTCCTTAGTGAGATAAAGTTATGTAGCTAAAATTGTTAGATGAAATCAAGCCTGAGTGTAGTATATTTCATCAATACTCCTTATATTTGTAATTTAAAAATTTAATAAAATATCTTAGGATTGAAGGTGGAATATAGATTCCCTTCATTTGAAAAGCAAGGTAAGGCTGAGCACGGTGGTTCATGCCTGTAATCCCTGCACTGTGGGAGACTGAGGCGGGTGCATCGCTTGAGGCCAGGAGTTCAAGATCAGCCTGGCCAACATGGCAAAACCCTGTCTGTACTAAATATACAAAAAAAACTAGCTGGACGTGATGGTGCATGCCTGGAATCCCAGGCATGGGATGGCTGAAGTGGGGTGGCTGAGGCACGAGAATCACTTGAACCTGGGAGGCGGAGGTTGCAGTGAGCCGAGATCATGCCGCTGCACTCCAGCCTGGATGATAGAGCGAAGCTTAGTCTCAAAAAAAATAAAAAGAAAGAAAGAAAAGGAAAGCAAGGTAATTGGAAGTATATTTCGTAAATTCTAGATTTGAAAGGACTCTCAAAAGTCACTTTACTAAATTTCCTTTTAGTATAAGAGTATACAACATCTTTGACAAGTGCTCTCTGTGTGAGATGCTGACATTGACAGGAAGGCTGCTTACCTTCATGAGGCTACCCTTGCCCTTGGACAATTCTCACTGTCAGATACTCTCTTGCTTTATATATTTGTTTTGATAACTTGCTTGTCCTTTTGATGTACATACTTGGAGCATCTGTTGTATGTTAGGCACTGGAGGTATGAGGGGACTCTCTCTCCCCTTGCAGAGCTCAGAGTCTTCTGAGAGAGAGGGACAGACCCCCCCAAAATAAGTAACTGCAGTGCATTATAGTCTTTGCAATGAAATAACAGTGCCATGGAAGGACAGAGGTAAGACACTTAAGTCAGCCTAGAGCATTGGACTCAGAATATCTTCTTGCAAAAATGATTACTGAACCAAGTCTTGAAGGGTAACTGCAATTTAGCTGAAGGAAGAAGGAGAATGGATAGTTTACCGGCAGATAGTACTGTGTGAAACAATGGCACAGATGCAGGACCTTCCAGAGGGTTGGGAGCAATCAGAGGGACTACCAGCAGTTCAATTAAGTGTGGCTGTAAGCTAAAACTTTCAGGCCAAGAGGGACAAGAGATGAGGGATGAGAAGTAGATAGACTAGATCAAGGAGGGTCTTATATGTAGTCTGAGGACTTCATCCTGCAGGCCATGGGAAGCTTTTGAAAAGAAAAAGGAGGGATAGTAATAAATGGAACAAGAGCATAGCGGTAAGTGGAAGGGATGAGATCAAAGGCAGAGGTGGAAAGATTGACCTTGAGCAGGAGGAGGAAGAACTTTCAGTTATATTGCAATCCTCTGCTAGGTAATTCAGATAACAAAACATTGGGTTATGATAGAACAGGGTTTAGTTTCCTCTAAACGTGGTATTTTTCTAATGTGTTTCTGAACATATTAACAGTGCATCTTAATAGCATAGAGTCACTGTAATTCTGTCACCTAAAGGATGTGTGTCCTGTGACAGGTAAGTGTCTGGCTTCTGGAATTCTAAGTATCTCTGCATTCACCCTTGGTTGGGAAGAGTTTAGTTAGTTGTGAGTATCCACACCAGGTTGTTGGTACTGTCAGTTCAGGAAAATATCAAATCCAGGAGAGAAATAGATCCCTTTAGACTTGATTTGCTCTAGATTGCTAACTTTTTTCCTTTTCTTTTCCCTACTTTGTCCTTAGGTGCTGTTGATGGGTAAAAGTGGATCTGGTAAGACCAGCATGAGGTCTATTATCTTTGCAAATTATATTGCCAGAGACACACGTCGCCTTGGCGCAACAAGTAAGATGTTTTATCTTATCGTAAAGTCAGGTGATCTTAACTCTTAATAATCTGCATAACACACTTGTTTGCAGTAGCTTGGGGATGCAGAAAGGTTGGGGGATTTGTTATGGAGCATGTTTACCCTTTTTGCATTGGTTCTCAAAGAGGTATGGCCTAATTCCAGTTACTGCTGCTTGCTCTCTTCAGGGAGGTTCTTTTCTTTCTAGGTTGTTTATGAAGTGGATTGCCCTTATCCAACTTTTTGTTTATCCTGCTATTTCTTAAACAAGCATTGTTTGTTCGTCTTGTGGGGAGAGTGTTTTTAACTCTTATACAAAGGGAAATTCATAGGTATTAACAAGCATAACAGTAAAATATCCTAAGATTTTTTAAAGCAGTAGTTACACCTTGTCTTCGTTAAAAGGTAAATTACGGTGGTGGGAAGGAAAGAGGTTAACTTGATCTGTACTCTGCTACTTCTTTTCCTGGATACACATAGATGATCTCATTAGAGTTTTGGTTCTGATTTAGGGAATATGTTGTTGCCTTTTATAGTTTGAGTGTTAGTATGTACTAATTGGGCTGCCATGGACAGTGAATGTAGGATCCTGGGAGAGCCCTTCTGTATCTGGGTTGTACTGCCATTTCCTTCTGCAGCATTCAAGCATTTCTGGATTCTGCTTGGTCCTTTATTTTTAGGGACAGGCCACCCACTACTCTATACAGTTCCTGAAGTTTCAAAAACAACAGCATTTTAAAAACACAGTATGTTTCAGACCCTAGGAAATAAAAGAGAAGGAAACCTCATTTCTGTTCTTATGGTGCTTGGAGTGTAAGTGTAGACTCTCATAATTGGGGCAGCTTTGATGACTAGAAAGCTGTTTCTTGAATGTATTTTTTGTTGTTGTTTAAGATGGAGTCTTGCACTCTCTTGCCCAGTCTGGAGTGCAGTGGTGCAGTCTTACCTCCTGGGTTCAAGTGATTCTTGTGCCTCAGCCTCACGAGTAGCTGGAATTACAGGCACCCACAACCACGCCCAGCTAATTTTATATTTTTACCAGAGACAAGGTTTCACCGTGTTGGCCAGGCTGATCTCTAACTCCTGACCTCAAGTGATCTGCTTGCCTCTGCTTCTCAAAGTGCTGGGATTACAGGTGTGAGCCACCATGCCTGGCCTCTTTCTTTTTTTTTTTCTGTTAGCTTGTTCTCTTTCTGTTCTCTTAAGCCTCTGCAAAAATTTGAGGATAGTCATTGTCTCAGTTTGTCCAAGCCATCTCTTGCCTCACAAATCTTTTTTTTTTTTTTTTTTTTCTTTTTGGAGACAGAGTCTTGCTCTATCATCCAGGCTGGAGTGCAGTGGCATGATCTCAGCTCACTGCAGCCTCCTCCTCCTGGTTCAAGGGATTCTCCTGAATCAGCCTCCCAAGTAGCTGGGACTACAGGTGTGTACCACCACATCCAGCTAATTTTTTTTATTTTTAGTAGAGATGGGGTTTCACCATGTTGGCCAAGCTAGTCTCGAACTCCTGACCTCAGGTGATCCTCCCGCCTTGGCCTCCCAAAGTGCTGGGACTACAGGTGTGAGCCACCATGCCTGGCCATCTTGCTTCACAAATCATGTCTTCCTTAAGTTAAAAATGTCCAGCTCTTCCATCTATTTCTCATTTGACATATTTTGAAACATTTTTAAGGACTTGTTCAAACTTGTCTACATTTTTCTTATGGTACTGAGACTTGGATGCAGGTGGAGTCTGATCAGGGCGGAGTGGGCCTATCACATCTGTTATTCTGGACATTACATTGCTGTTAGCACAGTCTAACATGTATCCTCCTTTTCTGGAGTAAGTTTTGTTATGAGGAGTCTTACCAAAAAACCCTTTCAAATATATTCAAATTCCCTTTCAAATATGTTGTTATTAAAACACATACCCTTCTGGCTTTTGGGCAATTAATATTTTAAACCAAAGAATAAATGCTTTCTTCTATTAAATTATTTAGTTTTGTTTGTTTTAGCCCATGATATGTTCCTGTACCCTTTGTTTGTTAACTGAAATTCAGAACAAGTCCAATCCCTTTTTTCTCATCCATGAAAAAAGGGATTGGATCCTATTTTCATTTTAGCTACTTATTCTCTTATCTGATATATTAGCTATATTTCCTAACTCCATGGAGTTTGTACATTTGATGAATATCTCCTCTAGTTTTCATCTAAGTCATTGGTCGAAAGTTTTGGTCAGGATAATGTCCCATGGCCTGTCATGCCTCTATAATTGACATCTGTAGCTCTGGCCTCTGGAAAGTCTACCTGTCCAAACTTCTCTCTGTCTTGATTTGATAGATTAAAACTTTTTTTTTTCTTTCAAGTTAAATATTTGGGCCTAATTACCCTTATGGTTTCAGTAGATTAGAGGAAGCTAATGGTTACTGAACAACTGTTATTTGTCAGGCTTTTGTGTACTGTTTTATTTACTTTAGTTCTCATCTTAACTTCATTTTTATAGGGAATAAAGAAGGAGGTACAACTTAGAAGTTAATATCACTAAGCTAGGAAGTATCAGAGCTGGAATGTCAATCTATGCTCTTCCCTTATTCCTTATGCCACATTCTATCTAGCTTACCCTCTCCTAACAATTCCTGGCAGACGTATTTTTATTTCTGTTTTAAATTCTGCACACTTTGTTGAAGCACCTTTTTCTAGTCCAGTTGCTGTTGCTGTTTTTATATAGCTGATCAGAGTTGACTTATTACCCTGAATCCAGAGAACAGTCTTGCAACCAACATTTCAGAGCTATTCAAACTGCTTGAAATAGTTTTGATATAACCTAGCAGCCTTATTGTGAACAGAATTTTGCGAATTATATGAACCCTATACATTAAGGCAAACCATTTATTTAGCAAGTGCTTTTCTGGAACTTTTTATGTAGGAGGCACAGAGAACAGGACAGAGCTCTTGTCCTTAGAATATCTCAAGCAGAACCTTTATTACTAATACTTTGTTAGTAATCACTGTATCTCCTTACAGGTAGTGAAATTATACTTTAAAATACTATGTTTTAGGATATCATCATTAGCTAGTTTGTCATTGCTAAAGAAATACCTGGGTTCTACTGCTAAACTTATAGACAAGTTCAAAATACATATATAGTGCATTACTTTTTACTTGATAGTCCTCTTTATGTAGTTGCTGATTTTCTTTAAAAGTAGTAAGAGTACTTTTAAAATATTACATTGATTTTAATGTTTTAGTGTTTTTCTAGTTTCTCATTGCTGAAAATAGTCCAGTTTTATTTTGTTAAACTTAGAGCCTACTGTGTTTTGAAATTTGAAGTAAGAGTACATGATTGTGATATTATTAATTTATTAGGGGGCTGCTAAAATGTATTTGTTGGAACAGTAAACTTGTCAATAAAAATGATTATGAAGTATTTTAGTCTCAAACACTGTTGACGGCTCCAAGATTTCCTACCTTCTCAAAATTCTCTGTTCCCTTGGCTTTTATTTAATGCTCTGTTACCCTGGTTTTCTTCCATTATCTTTAACCATCCCATCTCTCTTTAAAAAAAATCTTTATCATAGTATTTTCTTCTTTCTGCCCCGTAAGTGTGTGTCATTCCCCAAAGCTCTGTTCTTGGTTCTTTTTAGTTGTTCTTGTGATAATAGGGTAGGAAGACTAGGAGAGCCAGAAAGCCATATATGGAAGATATGAGACTAAAGAGGGAAGCAGGAAGTGGGTGGTTAGATCATAAAATGTCTTGTAAGCCAAGTTAGGTAGTAAGACCTGAGGGTAGAGAGAGTTTTAAACAGAAGAGCGATATTTTACAGGTCCTGGGGATTAGGGAAAATGTTAAAAAAAAAAAAAAAAGCAACATGAGCAGATTTATATTTTATATTTTTAATTTTCAGTTTTAATTACAAAAGTAGTACTTGTGAAAAATTCAAACATTACAGACGTGTGAAAAGCCTCTTTTCTCCCTCTCAGGCCTGCTTCCTAGGGACAACCACAATTAGTAGTTTTGAGGTTATCCTTCTGGCCCTTTCTTTTCTGGGTGTATACAATTGTGCATATGCAGAGAGACATGGTTTTTTTCTGTTTAAAGAAGAATGAAAATCTGCATTTTGGAGAGAGATCACTCTATCTGTAATATGGAGGATAGATTGGAGGGAGGCAAGGTTAGAAAGAGGTTGATAAGTTAGGAAACTATTTTAGTAGACCAGGTGAGAGATGATGGGGGCTTAGTTTGGGCTAGGGTGATGATAGTGGATATGGCGAGAAGCAAATGGATTTGAGATCTATTTAAGAGATAGAGTCAGCCAGACTTCCTGGTAGATTTAGGGAGAATGATGAGGAAAAAAGTGGACTGAAGGATGAAACTGAGGTTTTGGCTTAGGCAACTGGTTGAATTCACTGAGATAGAGAAGACTGAAAGAGGAATAGATTTGTAGGAAGAAAGGGGAGATGATGAGCTACATATACTTGGATACGTTGAGTTTGGGATACTTGTGGTTTATTCAAATGGAGATTTGTAATATATGTCAGAAAGGTAGGAGAGAAATCTGTCCTAGAGATACCTGTTTCTGAGTCATCAGTGTCTAAATGGCAAATAAAATAATATGAATAGACTAGCTTGCCTTGGGGAAGGTGGCCAAGGATGGAGTCCTGAAGAACTCCCAACATTTAAGGGACAGAAAGAAGAATAGGAATTGTAAGGGAGGATCTGCCAGAGAAGTTGTAGATATGATATCAGAGACCAAGAGAAGAGAATTTTTTGAGAAGAGAGTAGTCAACAGTGTCATGCTGCAGAAAGTAAGACAAGGACTAAAAGGTCCATTGGATTTGGTTATGGGGCCATTGGTCACTTGATGAGAATAATTTCTATGATATGGGAGTAGAAACCTGATTTCTATCCCATGTGCCCCATGTCTAAACAGTCACTGAATCCTGTCACTTCTTTTGTTATTGTCTTTCCCTTTCTCAGTAGCACTTCTTTCCATTTTTTTTTAGTACTAGACCGTATACATAGTCTTCAAATTAATAGCAGTTTGAGCACCTACTCTCTCGTAGACTCTGTTGGAAATACAAAGACATGTAAGATATGATTCCTTTTCCAAGGAGGGGGAAGTAAAGGGGAGAAGGGAAGTAGTTTGAGCACCTACTACGTGCCAGGCACTTTATGTATGATAATTCATTGAATCCTCATAGTAATCCTGTGAGGTCAATGCTATGCCCCGCGCCCCCCTGCCCACTTTCTTTTTTAATAGAAGAGGAAACTAATACTCAGAGCTTAAGTGACTTGCCCAAGGTCACACAGAGAGGTAGAGCCATGATATTTGAATGAAGATTTGTTCGACTCCAAAGCCCGTGCTTTTTAAAATAATGCTCTGCTGCTTACAATGTAGTTTATAAGAAGATAAAATTGCACAAAAGTTAGATAGCAGTCAATTTAAGCAACAGCTTTGAGATAGTCATAGGAGAAATATCACTGTGTGATTGATTATCACAAATTGTATAGATTATAATTCCTAGACTTTGATAAATTTTCAGGATAAAATGTTTCATTATTACTCCTTGGGATTTTTAGTGCCTGGCAGAGAGTAGATGCTTAATAAATGTTTGAATGAATTCAGAGGGAGAGATGACGGTAAGTGGGGGTAGCCAGGCAGGGCTTTTAGAGGAGGTGGGATTTAGGCTGGCTCTTAAAAGATGAATATAGTTTGAAAGAAAGATGGGGAGGGCTTTCCAGGCAGATGAACAGAGTAGGTGAAGAATAGAGGGGAGGGAAGTGTAACTCAGAGGTCGCAAACAGGCAGCCTGTATCCTGGATAAGACCTGTAGATGTGTTTTGTTTGGCCCATGTGATGTTTTCTAAAAATGGCAATTAGTTATCAACATGTAAAAGTTTTCATAAAAATATGGATTTCCCACTACTGCTGAAAAACTTAAAGGTCTGGTAACCCAGAGCCCCCATTCCTGCATGGCAAAGGAACCAGAGCTGAGTAACTGCTGCTCACTCTACTATCCCATTGGGTAGATGTTTACCCTCCATATGTGGCCAACTTTGCTCATATATGTTTACTGGCCTGGCCCCTGTTAGCAAGTTTGCGACCCCTGGTGTAAAGTATTTTGGGGGTTGGGGAGGTAGTGGGGTTTGGGAGGACTGTGAATAAACCAAATTGGGCTGGAGTGAAAGGCTTTATTAATGTGGATCATTGGGGAATGTATAGGTAGACTGGAAGCCAAATTGTGAAGGACCTTGAATGCCTCCCCATAGGCATGGAGGAGCCATTGAAAGTGTTTTGAATGGGGAGTGACATGTTCAAAGTAGTGTTAAGAAGATGAGCCTGAGAGTAGCCTGTAGGATGAAGTAAAAGTGAGTAAGGCTTTTTGGTGGGGAGGTCAGTTATGGAGCTATTGTAGTAGTGTAGACAGATGATAAGGGGCTTCCTTAGTGTTTGTGGTGGGTTATAAAATAAGGAATGGAATTAAGAGAGATTACAAAGGACTAGCAATGTATTGAATGTGGATAGAAGAGTCAAAAGTGGGAAAAAGTTAGGGTCATTAACTGGAAAGGAAATCAATAGCAGGAGTTCATTTGGTTATGTGTTATGTTTGTTTTTTGTTACTTTTTTTTAAATTTGTGTGTGTTTGTGAGGTTGGTGGGGGCAGGTGGGACAGGGAAGACTGATTAAATGGTATATATCTATTACATGTTGAAATTTTAACATAAGTATTGTAATTGGAGATTGTTTCTGCTCTAGGTATTAAACTACTAAAAAGTAAAATGACTTACATGAGAGCCAATTCTGTAGCTCAGGGTAGTTTAGGTGCCCACCTTGCCACTAAACCACACTACTCAGCTGAAAATCACCTTCTTGTTGTGGCTTTGAGCATTTCACTCCACTTTGGTCCTTCTAAATTTCATGGGTTAGTGCTTTGCTTATTTTGAATTTCACTTCACCTGCTATAATTACTAGATCTGTCATATTTGTCTTCCAGTTGATGTAGAACATTCTCATGTTCGATTTCTGGGAAACCTGGTATTGAACCTGTGGGATTGTGGTGGGTAAGTACCATCTGCTTACTTGTTTGTGAAGTTGATGTCAGTAATCATGGAATCTAGCATATCAGCATGGTGAATACACCTAGAGTAACTATCATTTGTAATAGATTAGATAGAAATTAGTTCAAAATTGACACTTGAGTCAATAAACATCTCTGACTTTTATGGAATTGTGAAAATGCCCTCTGTATGTGACATGTTTAAATAGCACTAATTCAAGCTCTATCTAGGTATCTGTAGTTTGGGATAGATTATCCCCTTTTGTGGAGGAATAAATTAGGTTTCTGTCTCAGACATCCTGACACCAGTGCTGAGCTCTTAGCTGTCATACCATACTACTTTGTTCTTAGTAATAAAACATCAATAATTTTCTCCAGGCAGTCTCAATACTGTAGATCAGACACTGAGCACACATTCTCTAGCTAAGTGACCTACTTTTTGGAAGAGTAGGAGTTAGCTCTTCCTCTTATGAGCAAAGTATTCACCACATATTCCATCACAAATGTACACACACTATGGATGTATGCTGATGTTGCTCCCTACCCTATGGCCATTGCATCTCTGTGCTGAAGGAGCAGTGTTCATTGCACAGTGGATAGGAGCATAGGTTTTGGAGTCAGATTGGGGTTTGCACCTCAGCTCTGTTAACTGTGTTATCTTGGGTAAATCATTTAAACTCTCTGAGCCACAGTTTCTTCATCTGTACAGTAGTGAAGGCAATGGTACCAGCTCATAGGGTTGTTTTGATGATTAAGATAATTTATACAAAGTTGCATAGCAGAGTGCCTCACAAAATGCATAGATATTGTTAGCTCAGTGTATCCCAGCTCTTAGCATAGAGCCAGCCATAGAGTGGGTGCTCAGTGAATATGTGTTGAAAGAATAATGCAATAGCTAAATACTCTATAAGAAAATGACTCCATTCCTGATAGCAGATGGATCACTTAACATCCTAGCACCTATCTCCATACAAATCCTTCCTCATTATCATTGGTTCTAATTTTCGAATCCGTGTTAAGACATTAGTCCCAAGTCCCTTGCTTTTAGGCACTAAGATGTGATGATCTTCGTTTTTACAGATAAGGCAGCTGAGGCCTGGGGAGATTATGATTCTGCTGAGTTCACACAGCTAATTAATAGCAAAGTGCAGGACTAGAACCTAGGTTGCTGATTTTTTTCTCCTACTACCGGATGCTACTGTTTTCTGCTGGCCAAGTGGTAATTGAGAGCTTCCTGGAAAGCAGCACTTAGCCTAAGGAGCAGAGAGCAACATCTACAAAAAAATACAAAAAAACTAGCTGGGCGAGGTGGCGGGCGCCTGTAGTCCCAGTTACTCGGGAGGCTGAGGCAGGAGAATGGCGTAAACCCGGGAGGTGGAGCTTGCAGTGAGCTGAGATCTGGCCACTGCACTCCAGCCTGGGCGACAGAGCGAGACTCCATCTCAAAAAAAAAAAAAAAAGTTACCATTGGAGTAATTTTAATGTAGTTTAGAATATTTGACTGTTGAGTTATTCATTCAGCAAATTTTCATTGAGTACTTAACACTGTTAGAAGCTGGGAAACAATGAAGAATAGTAACATACATGGAACTTGCTGTCTAGGGAAGTGAATGGTATTAATGAAAAACTCTCACAAACAAGTGTAATAACTTGTGGTAAGTGTTAGAAGTAAGAGGAATGTATTGATATAAGAGCCTATGCTTAGTGGATTGACCTGTCAGGAGGCCATGGGCAGTTTCTGTGAGGAAATATGGATTGAACTGAAATCTAAAGAGACAAGCAGGGGTTAACTAGATGAAGAGGTGGGGGGTAGCATCTGAGACAGAGTGAACAGCATGTGTAAAGGCTACATAGTGGATAAACCACGTGTCACTTGAGGAATTGAGAAAAAGTCAGTGTGTTTAGAATATAAGGAGAGGGGCAGAGAAATGGATCTGGTACAGGAGAATCAGTGGGACCTGGTAAGAAACAGAAAAGGGGCTGCACCAAATGGTTGACATGCTTTGCAAACTTCTTTTGTTGGCTCAAGTTGTGCCTCAAGAGGTAAGAAGGTAAGGCCAGACTTATTTGTTATGATTTGCCCTTTAGATTGAAGCCTTAAGGTTATCTTTCACATTGATCAAGCCAACAAAAATAGGTCATAAGGAGGAGTGATTGAACTGCGGATTTGCTTACTATATATTTTTTTTCTACCAGGCAAGACACCTTCATGGAAAATTATTTTACTAGCCAACGGGACAACATCTTCCGAAATGTGGAGGTTCTGATTTATGTCTTTGATGTGGAGAGCCGCGAACTGGAAAAGGACATGCACTATTACCAATCATGCCTGGAGGCCATTCTGCAGAACTCTCCAGATGCCAAAATATTTTGCTTGGTACACAAAATGGATCTGGTACAGGAGGATCAACGGGACCTGGTAAGAAACAGAAAAAGCGCTGCACCAAATGCTTGACATGCTTTGCAAACTTATTTTGTAGAGGTATAGGTTAATTTGTACCATTTTTTTCAGGAATAAAAGGTCAGCAGAAGTTTTCAAAGTAAAGTTTTGTCATTTGCTTTGACAAAACACTCTTTTAAACACATTTTCAATGATAAGGGAAAGATATTATTTATTAGTAAATAATTTTCAGAATTAGGCAAGAAATCTGTCCAAGTGATCTCACTAAGCAGCATTTATTTATTTTTAAAATATATTTGCTGCCCCAGTTTTATTGTCCTTCAAAGCAGGGAGGTAGTGTCAAGGTTAAGACCCACTAGGAGTGAGATGAAGAGAGGTTGCTGATTTCATTAGATTGACTTAGGAAACTGGTATATACCAGTTCAAGTGCCAACCACAGTGTGTTAGGCACTATGCCAGGTCCCTCATAATTGCACTGATATAGTAAATTTCTCTTTCTGACGTGGGAGTTAGTACACACAAATTTAAACCAGAGAAGGCACAGTAGCAGGTGATGTCACCAAGATAGTGGAGTAGGAGATAACCAGTCTTCATTCCCCTACAAAAAAACAAATATAGATAGTTATCCACAAACCAAAATAGCCCCGAGAAGGCTCAAAGGCCCATTATAGAAAGACATAGTAAAATGGGTAAACTCCTGCTTAGCTGTGAGACTACAGGATTGGCAAGTCATATAGTCTAGCTTCAATATAGTCTGTCTAGTTTGCTCAATATAAAATAAGAGGATTGGATTTTAAGGTCTATGCTGAAAGAGAAGATCCTTCTCTATTTCTAAGGGTATGAAACTAAGGAAAGCAGTTTTGGGATATGCTGGTCATATAGAGGAATACAGTTACTCTTTGAGTTGGAGTATAAGAATCTAAGGAAATCCTTTAATGAAAGGATGTTTTGGTAATTGCTCTGGTAAGGAATACTTCTTTATATTACTAGTTACAGGATTGCCTCCACTGTTCTAGTGTTTTGATATTTATAGGTTAGCTTATAGGCTTTCAAAACCATTTGAAGGGTTCCATATTTGACTCAGAAAACTGCTTTTGATTATTTAGTAGTCTTTTTAGCTCTTCCTCAACTTCTGTCATTAAGTATTAATTACTGTTTAATACCTAATAATTAATATGGTTTTAATTCAGCATAAAATCATGTGTGTAACTTGGGTCTTGAGTTTGTGAGGGCCTTGTTACTGCGCTTGCTGTTTTGTTCTCGTTTGCTTTTAAAAATCACTTTATTTCCTAGCCAAAATTGCAGTAGAAAAATTTACAGCATTCCAATAAATGAGCTCCTTTAAACATTTAGAAGTGTTTTTTTCACTTGTAATTTTGTGTTTTTTTTAGTATTTTTATTTATTTTATTATTTCAGTAGCTTTATGGTTATGTGTGGTTTTTGGTTACATGGATGAATTGTGCTATGGTCAAGTCTGGGCTTTTAGTGCATTCATCACTTGAATAGTGTACATTATACCCAGTAGATAATTTTTCTTCCCTCACCCCCCACAACCTCCCCGTTTCTGTGTCTCCAGTGTCCATTATACCACTCTGTATGCCTTTGTGTACCCATAGCTTAGCTCCCACTTACAAGCGAGAATGTGCAGTATTTGGTTTTCCATTCCTGAGTTGTAAACAAGAGATAGTTTGACTTCCTTTTTTCAATTTGGATCACCTTTATTTCTTTGTCTTGCCTGATTGCTCTGGCTAGGACTTCTAGTACTATGTTGAATAGAAGTGGTGAAAGTGAGTATAATTGTCTTTTTCCAGTTCTTAAGGGGAATGCTTTAAACTTTTCTCCATTCATTTTGATGTTGGCTGTGGGTTTCTCATAAAAGGCTCTTAATATTTTGAGGTATGTTTCTTCTGTACCTAGTTTGTTGGAGGTTTTTCATCATAAAGGGATGCTCTGTTTTATTGAATGCTTTTTCTGCATCTATTAAGATGACCATATGGTTTTTGTTTCTAATTCTGTTTATATAGTGAATCACATTTATTGACTTGTGTATATTGAACCATGCTTGCAACCCTGGGATGAAACCGACTTGATCTTGGTGAATGATCTCTTTGATGTGCTGGTAGATTAGGTTTGCTAATATTTAGTTGAAGATTTTTGCATTTATGTTCATTGAGTATATTGATTTGTAGCTTTCTTTTTTTATGTCATTTTGTGGCTTTGGTATCAGGATGACACTGGCTTTGTAGAATGAGTTAAGGAGGATTCCCTTATTGTCAATCTTTTGGGGCAGTTTCAGTTGGATTGGCATCAGTTCTTTGTCTCATAGAATTTGGCTGTGAATCCATCTCGTCCTGGGTGTTTCGTTTGTTTGTTTGTTTTGTTTTGATTTTTTGGTTGGGAGATTTTGGGCTTTTTTTTTTTTTTTTTTAACTGATTCAGTCTCACTAATTGTTAGTGCTCTGTTCAGGATTTCTATTTTTTTTTTTTTTTTTTTCCCTGATTCAAGCTTGTGTGGTTGTGTATTTCCAAGAATTTATCCATTTCCTCTAGATTTTGTACTTTGAGTGCATAGAAGTTTTCATAGTAGTCTCAGTCATCCTTTGTATTTCTGTGTTATCAGTATGATGTTTCCATTTTCATTTCTGATAGAGCTTATTTGAATCTTCTTTTCTTACTTTGTCTAGCTAGTGGTTTATTAATTTAGTTTATCTTTTCAAAGAACCAACTTTTTGTTTCATTGACCATTGTATTTTTTTAATTTATTTTCAGTTTTCTTGAGTTCTACTCTAACCTTTGTTATTTCTTATTTCTTTTCTTCTGCTAGCTTTGGGTTTGGCTTGTTTTTGTTTCTCCAGTTCATTGAGGTGTGATGTTAGGTTGTAAATTTGTGATCTTTTTGTCCTTTTGATGTAGGCATTTAGTGCAATAAACTTTGATCTTAGCACTGCTTTTGCTATATCCTGGAAATTTTGATAACTTGTGTCAGTATTTTCACTCATTTCAAAAACATTTTTAATCTCCATCTTGATTTTATTTTTGACCCAAAGATCATTCAAGAGTAGACTATTTAATTTCCATATATTTGTATGGTTTTGAGAGTTCCTCTTGGAAATGATTTATGGTTTTATTCTGCTTTGGGTTGATTCGATACTTGATATGCTTTTGATTTTTTAAAATTTATTAAGTATTGTTTTGTGGCCTGGCATATGGTCTATCTTGAAAAAGTCCCATGTGCTGACAATAAGAATGTCTATTCTGCAGTTTTTGGGTAGAATTTTCTGTAAATGTCTGTTAAATCCACATGTTCTAGAGTCCAGTTTAAGTCCAGTGTTTGTTTGTTGACTTTCCGTCACAGTGATCTATCCAGTGCTGTCCATGGGGTGTTGTAGTCCTCCACTATAATTGTATTGCTTTCTATCTCTTTTTCTTAGGTATAGTAGTTTCTGTTTTATTAATCTGGGAGCTCTGGAGTTAGGCGTGCATATATTTTGGGTTGTTGTATCTTCTTGTTGAATTGATTTCTTTATCATTGTATAGTGACATTTTTTGTCTTTTTTACTGTTGTTGATTTAAAGTCTGTTTTATCTAAGAATAGTTATTCCCACTCACTTTTGGTTTCCATTAACATGGAATATTTTTCCTCCCCATTTACCTTAAGTCTATAAGCATCTTTACAAGTTAACTGGGTATCTTGCAGACAGCAGATATTTGGTTTGTGTTTTTTTCCATTCTGTCCATCTGTATCTTTTAAGTGACACATTTAGACCATTTACATTCAATGTTAATATTGACATGTGATGTACTGTTGCAGTCATCGTGCTGCTACCTAGTTGCTTGATTTTCTTCAATGTGTTACAGTTTTTTTTTTTTTTTTTTTTTTTTTTTCTTTTTTTTTTTAATTTTTTTATTTTTATTTTTATTTTTATTATTTTTTTTTTAATTTATTTATTATTATTATACTTTAAGTTGTAGGGTACATGTGCATAACGTGCAGGTTTGTTACATATGTATACTTGTGCCTTGTTGGTGTGCTGCACCCATCAACTCGTCATTTACATCAGGTATAACTCCCAATGCAATCCCTCCCCCCTCCCCCCTCCCCCCTCCCCATGATAGGCCCCGGTGTGTGATGTTCCCCTTCCTGAGTCCGAGTGATCTCATTGTTCAGTTCCCACCTATGAGTGAGAACATGCGGTGTTTGGTTTTCTGTTCTTGTGATAGTTTGCTCAGAATGATGGTTTCCAGCTGCATCCATGTCCCTACAAAGGACACAAACTCATCCTTTTTGATGGCTGCATAGTATTCCATGGTGTATATGTGCCACATTTTCTTAATCCAATCTGTCACTGATGGACATTTGGGTTGATTCCAAGTCTTTGCTATTGTGAATAGTGCCGCAATAAACATACGTGTTACAGTTTTATAAGTCCTGTGAAATTTTTGCATTCAAGTGTTTTCATACTGGTGCATATGACCTTTCATTTTGATATTTACAACTCCTTTTGCATTTCTTATAGTTCTGGTCTAGTGGAGACAAATTCCATCAGCATTTGCTTGTCTGGGAGAGACTTCATTTCTCTTTCATTTATGAAACTTGGTTTTGATAGATAGAGAATTCTTGGCTGACAGTTATTCCATTTGAGGAGACTAAAGATAGGACTCAATCCCTTTTGGCTTGTAAGATTTCTGCTGAGAAGTCTGCTGTTAGTCTGATAAGTTTTTCCTTTATAAGTTATCCAATACTTTTGTCTCACTCTTCTTAGAATTCTTTCCTTCATGTTGACTTTAGATAGCCTGATGATTTGGTAATGTCCTTTTTATAATGAATCTGCTGTGAGTTCTTTGAGCTGCTTGTATTTGGATGTCTAAATTTCTAGCAAGACCAGGAAAATTTTCCTCAAATATTTCCTCAAATGGGTTTTCCAAGTTTTTTGCTTTTTCTTCTCCCTCAGGAACACCTGTGATTCTTAGATTTGGATGTTTTGTACCTAAACCCATATTTACTGGAGACTTTGTT